TCGCCCAATCACAATTTCTGTTACACAGCATGTTAGCCATGGTATGATAGTCTGATTTTGATTGGCCAATCAAACCTAAAGATTCTGACTATTAAAGCGTTAATCATGAGTCATGATTTCAAAAATGAAAACTATTTGGCAAACTTACTTTTGAAGTTATCACTTCAAAACAAAATCAGCTCTGGATTCTAAAAGACTATGCATGGTATTGTTGATATTCCACTTGGATTTGAACTTTCCAACAACTTTCACCTTTTGACACCTACACAATGTTAAGTGCACTAGCTCTACATGTCAGGTCACTTGAGGGTCACTTGAGGCTTAGTATTCTAAAACTGCAATTTTTTTTTGTGGAGATGAAATGAGTAGAACTAATGCCAGTGTAATTTGATGAATGTTGAATGAATGACTTATTAACTGATTGATTAATTGAAATAAATGAATGAATAAATGAACGAAAAAAAGAATCTTGATATTAGCTACCATGAGCAACAATTTGTATTGACTCCAATGAATAGATTACAAATGAATGTTGAAAAATAGCATACAGGGAACAACAATATTCATTGACTCAATAAATAAATAAGTGAAGAAATGAATCAATGAATCAATAAAATGCATGTTAAAATTAGCATACTGTGGGGTAACATTTGGCATTGACTCAAATGCAGAAATGAATGTTGTAATTAGCATGCAACATGCATTGACTTGATCTATAGAAGGAAGGAAGGAATGAATGAATGAATGCATGACTTGTTGAAATTGGCATACTGTGGGGTAACATTTGGCATTGACTCAAATGCAGAAATGAATGTTGTAATTAGCATGCAACATGCATTGACTTGATCTATAGAAGGAAGGAAGGAATGAATGAATGCATGTTGAAATTGGCATACTGTGGCGGGTAACATTGGCATTGACTCAAATGCAGAAATGAATGTTGTAATTAGCATGCAACATTATGCATTGATTTGATCTATAGAAGGAATGAATGAATGAATGAATGAATGTTACAAGTTAAATTAGCTTACTATGAAGATATTCACTGCAACGAATGAATTAATAATTGAATATGAAAATGAACGTTGAAATTAGCATGCAGCATTGACTTGATCTATAGAAGGAAGGAATGAATGAATGAATGAATGTTACAAGTTGAAATTAGCTTACTATGAAGATATTCACTGAAACGAATGAATTAATTAATAATTGAATATGAAAATGAACGTTGAAATTAGCATGCAGCATTATGCATTGACTTGATCTATAGAATGAATGAATGAATGAATGAATGAATGAATGTTGTAAGTTGAAATTAGCTTACTATGAAGAAGATATTCACTGAAATGCATGGATGGATGAATCAATTAATTTATAATTGAATATCAAAATGAATGTTGAAATTAGCATGCTGTGAGTAGCGTTAGTTATTGACTAGTGTACACGTGTATAGATGTAGGATGAGTGACAGGCGTGTCGTTATCTCTCACTAGAACCCATCTTCAATGTGTCTTTAGTGTGACCTTATCAAATATTAAAATGCAATCATCCTCAACTTTTTCTCCTCGTCAATTCATGGAAATGATAAAAATGTCTCTATTACTTTGTCCTTGAATGAGCTTAAAGCATTTTGAAATGACCTTTGAGTTAGAAATTACTAGTTTCATGTGTAATCCATTCCCTAATAGAACCATAATTTTCCATCAAAAAATGTTGGCACAATATTTTGACTATTTTTATATATTTTTTGACCAAATTAACATAATTTCCTAATAGCTACAGGTCTTAATCGAAATTCTAAAAAAATAAATAATAATATGTTGGTTTGATTTTGGTGACAAAAAATATTTCCCACTTTACTGTGTTTCATGGTTCATGGATGGATGGTTTTCATGAGGACTTTGTACAACAGTTGCACTAATGGTCCTGGTAAAATATTCACGGTAAAAAATATTTAGATTTTTCCTGCCTAGTGGATTTAAATGGTTTCGGTTTAATGGTTTTCGGTTAGAGATTGGATAGGTGGTTGACAGATATGCTCACACTCCGGTTTTCTTGTAAACACAAGGTTGTCTGGTAACTTATGAATTACGAAAACATGGGTCCATATTGGAAAGCTCAGGACCATATTGGAAAACTGATTGATTTCATTTCTAAATTATTTTCCAATCGCTCCAATAAAATTGGTAAAAAATTTCAGCAAACATCACAAACTAGCAGAACCAGCACATGAAATAAGTTTTGCGTGAAATAGAACACACTCACAGGTACAGTGATATTTTTATATTCAATAGATTTAATTAGAAGAAATTCCACATTTGGTGTATGTTGTCAAGTTTATTGGACAGTTATTTTCGTGATGAATACTGTATTCGCCCTATCAAAAGTGTATGTATATAGCCGATGTGTCGATCAAAATTAGTCGCATTTTGTTAATCTCCTATACAATTACATGTCATTTATTGTTTATAGGCATTTGTATTGACGATGCGCTTTCACTAGAGCAATTACAGTGTATGTTTGTGATCATTGCTCTATATAGTTTAGATTGACGCAAAACTCTCTGCACTTGCATCTGTTACCATCAAACTATGTGAGAATGTCATGCTATTTATAAAAAGAAATGTTCTAATGTGTCAGTTCTCCTTCAAAAATGTGTTTGAAGGAAAGCCCGTTGTTGGTTATATAACGATTGACTGCGGGCTATCACTTTATTTTCGACTTACAAGTGGATGTTAGACAAGGTTACACAAGAGTCGCGAAAGATGAAGAAATATTTACTAATAAACGGACCTTGTGTTGTCGCGTGCTTCTCTTATTCGTAAAGCACGTTCTGAATGTTTTCTGAGGACAGAATCTTTGTTCATGTTTCTACAATTGAACCTCTATTGTATGTATGTTGGTCTATAGACCTTTCACATGTCGTTGTATTACGTGTAACTTTCACATGTCGATGTACTACGTTTAACTTTCACATGTTGTTGTATTTCGTGTAACTTTCACATGTCGTATTACGTGTAACTTTCACATGTTGTATTACGTGCAACTTTCACATGTCGTTGTATTATGTGTAACTTTCACATGTCGTTGTATTTCGTGTAACTTTCACATGTCGTTGTATTACGTGTAACTTTCACATGTCGTTGTATTACGTGTAACTTTCACATGTCGTTGTATTACATGTAACTTTCACATGTCGTTGTATTACGTGTAACTTTCACATGTCGTTGTATTACGTGTAACTTTCACATGTCGTTGTATTACGTGCAACTTTCACATGTCGTATTACGTGTAACTTTCACATGTCGTTGTATTACGTGTAACTTTCACATGTCGTCTGACGTGCACCTGACATACATCCACCTTAATTCCAATATTTTAGTTTAGTCTCTGAACAACTTTCTTCGCTCGTTTTTTAGTCAGAGTCAGAAGTACATGTTCAGGACATTATGTTTGTCAGGCATTATTGACAGGCATGAAAGTCTGTGGAAAAATAAATTTCGTACACTCTCAAATTTCACAAGTTGCATCTGTGTAATTTCAATGGATCATATAATGTCACTAGGCATTGGAAACCCTTATCTATTATCTGCCCTTTGAATATTCTAGATACGTTTCATGTTTAATACAAATGCCATGATTCATAACTCTATGCCAATTGATGGAAATTAAGTTTACGAAATAATCCAAAAGGAATTGTGTCTCTCAGAGAACTTTTATATTCTACTTTCGCCATTTGTTGCCTATCATCAATTAGCAAAATTTGTCTATATCGTTATCGCGTGAAACCTGAACGGATGTACATTTATTTACACTGTCACGTAGTCCCTAATATGAATATGGTTTATATGACGAAATGTATCATACTGTATGTTACATTAGTGCTTGCTTTTTTTTTTTTTTTGCTCACATATATAAGGTTAAGTAACCTTCAATGTCAGGAACAGGAACTATTACCAAAATTTTTTTTTTTAATTTTATAAATGTTAGTCTTCTTTCTTGGTTTGAAATTTACTTTCATTTTGTTAAAAAAAATAGATATGACATACTGGAAAATATCTTTAGTGCATACACCGCTGTAAACTGAACAAAATTTTCTGTAATATTTTTGTTTGGTTTATACAGTTTTCAAAGTATGCCGTCAATATAGGAATTTAAAACCATTGAGTGTGTGCACTGTGATTAAGTGACTTGAGAAGATAAACCACTGTAGAAGTTTACTGCTACCTCTCTGTGTATCTGATAAATTAATGATAAATCTGGTTTGTTTTGCTGAGCTCCTTCATGGCTCTTTGAAATGAACGTGGCATGATTCTCATTAGGAGCCCTTTGGCCCCTGACATTTACGTGGGATATATGTATACATGATGTTTTCTGTAACTAGGTCATGTGTCTTAGTACCCATGAATAAATAGTAAAGTAGTTCCGGCCATGCATTTTGTGGTCATTGATTGCATGACGTCATCGTTCAAATTACATGTCCTTGAATTTCACCATGCTTCTGTTAGTCAACCTGGTTGGCTTCAGTTTGTTTTCAATTAAATTGTTTTAAAATTCATCTGATGTACTCTACTTTGTGTATCATCATTGATGATCATGTTCATGCTACCTACGTGCAGAGTTGAAGGACATTTGAGGTGAATGCTACTAACGGTGACTGCCCTCTTGGGGTGACCTGGTTTAATTTTATGGGAAATTTCCATGTTGTTGATCAATTGGCACAGTTCAACGGTAATCACCACCTTTTGATGAGATTTAATTACATTTTCTGTCCAAGTGAAAGATTATTAATTTGATTTATATAAACAATTTTACTCATAATTATTTGAAAAAGCAGGTGAAACACATTAAAGTATTGTGTTCGATACCTATTTTAATGAATTCAAATATTACAATCAAATTTTATTTAAAATTAATGTAATTGTAAATTTATAATAACATTAAAATAAAATTTACAATGCATACAAATTAAATTTCAGTGAAATTTTGTTTATTTGCAGTGCCATCTACCAGTTACTTTGTGCTATTATTGGCGTACAATGATTATGGGGACGGTCATGATGCATCACGTTATATCGAGACCCTCGGTAAGTGATAAATTGTCAAAACTATTTTTGTCAACTTTTCATATTTTTTAAATCCAAGTGAGCCAAAATGACCTTTATGCCAGGCATATATTTATAATAAAAACATGCAGGTAGCTGGAAAATTGAATTTTTTGCTGTTTACATTTGCATACTGTGAAATAATTTATTTCTACTGGAATTAAATTTTCGCTGAAAGGACTTTTTGGGTATTTTGTATGGAATTTATTTTCACTGATTTTTTGGTGAGTTGAATGAAATATAGGAAAAAAGGTATATTCGCTGGATTTTATTTTCACTGAATCACTCTTTCAGCGAAAATAGCATAAATTTATTCCAAGCGAAAATAAAGTATTTTATAGTACTTTATTTTAGCTCGAAATAATTTTTACGGAAAAGACATTTTGGGTGTTTTGTATGGACTTTAATTTCATTGATTTTTGATGAGTTGAATGTAAAACACAAGAAAAAAGGTATATTCGTTATTTTTTATTTTCACTGAATCATCCCTTCAGCGAAAATAAATTACAAGTGAAAATTAAGAATTTTACAACAGTATGTCCATCCAGAAATGTATATTGGTGGTATACCGAAAGTCCCGGGTCATAAGCCCATCCTCGGGTATAAGCTAATCCCTCTATTTTTAGACAATTACGAAGATTTAAAGTGAGTTCAGAGACTCCCTGGTTATAGGACAAGGTTGTTTTTACCGGGCGAGGCTGATTGATTAACATTTATTAAAATATGCAGGTATAAAGATTGTTGGTTGTTTTTTTGTGCCAGGATTCCGTGGTTATAGGACAAGGTTATAGTTGCACAGCACCCTCATGCCATGGACATGCGCCCCCCCCCCCTTACCCTGGGGAGCAGATCCTCTGGCAACCATAAAATTCTGATTGACCAGAGATCACATGTGGACACAGTCTTCAAGTGTGACCTGTCTGATAGTAATTTTGGCCCCAAGGAAGCCATAGAATGCTTCATTTTAACTTAAAATTATCAGAAACTCCACACCCTTGTAGGGAGATCTCTATCTCTCCCACTTAGTGGCGCCGCTAAATTGCAGTGCTCCCTCTTGCAGTTTTTTTCTAGCAGGAATCACAAAGGATATATAAAAACCCCGGATAATCATAATAATAATTCCCACCTGAACAAAAAAGTTTTCTTTTACTTATCGACTATGACAATTTCTTTTATAGTGCCGACCCCATCTATAAATATTCCGGTGAATCCTGCACCGCCTTATCCTAATGAAATTGACGCCATTGTTGAGACCCCGTCTACAATTTTGGTGAAATGGTCCAAGCCTCAGACAAGCCTGGAAATTATCTACTACACAGTTCGCTTCCATCCGGCTGCTATAACCAATGCTTCGTTGGTAAAGAAAGAAGAGAGGTAAAATTACATAATGTATTATGTCAAAGAGCCACGAACATCTGATGAAAGAGGATGGAACGCTATTTGATAGACAAAAAAAGTCTAACAGCTCTCTAACTCCCACTCTCGTCGACCATTTACATAAAGGCTTGACAAGATGTTCAAGTTTGACATTCCAATATTACCCTTTTCACCCCCACTTCCCCCTTTTCATCACAAATTCACAAAATAGTCCCGTTTATAGTCTGGACTTTTCCTAACAAGATTTTTTGAGCAAAAACTGAAAATTGAATCAAATTATGTCTGTTGGTTCCGAAATTAGGGTACATTTCCAGAAATAATGAAGAATATCAGAAAAAAATGCAGAAAAATGTAGGCGAAAAAGTTTGGCGGTAAAAAGGTTAAATGATGATGACAGGGTCTATTGATTGGATGGAAACTGTAAAAAAAACAAGGTTCTGTGAAAAATGTAGGAGTGAACATTTCTTTAGGTCGGCGAGTCACATTGACTCTTGTAACAGTGAACTTTTTGTATCTTTAAGGTAGTGAGTCACAGTGACTTTAACTGGAGTCTAAACGAGTCACAGTGATTTTCACTGGAGTTCTAGCTAGTTACTTACTTTTGCTAGGATCTTAGGGAGTCACGATGATGTTCACTGGGGTCTTAGAGAGTGGCAGTGACTTTTGCAAATTTTTGTCCCCGCAAATGTCATAAAATTAGCATATTGCAATAATTTGTTGTTCACTTTATAAATTATATAATTAAGTAATAATTAGTCATAATAAAAAATATAATTTTTCATGAAAACATAAATTCTTAATACGAGTATAAACTTTTTTATATTTTATGCCAACATCGACTGTGTTTACTTTTTCCCATGATACAAAGCATGGAATAGATGTTAAAGCATTACAAAGTTACACGTATTCCTAACACATGTTATACTTTGTATTTTTGTAGCAATACAGAGCAGATAATGCTAATGGATTTGATACCATTTACCGAATACGTTATTGCAGTCAAAGCACATGCACGTAGCAGCGAGAGTCGCTTCAGCAATGATATCACAGCTAACACGCCGGAAGATCGTAAGTCGTATATTCATCAATTTATATCATGGAATCAAAGCCTAATTTGCACTTGTTTTCCATGCGTATCAAGTTGCTTGTCATTTTAAAAATTGCTTTGCGTCCGTTCTGTAATGGAAATTTCTCTTCAAATCACTCATGCAAGTTCTCGAAGGCGTTCCATGTTACTTTAATGAGCTATTTTATGAATGGTGGCCATCTGAGCATACACCACTCATATCCCCATGAGCTATCATCCAAGAAAGGAAGGATTACATTTTGCAGGAGCCTCATGGTCATTATTGAATTGACATCTTAATTACTACATTAGACAATGTTCGTAATTGTCACCTGACATAAAAATATTGTTAAAAAGGCCTTGAATCAAGCCCCAGGACCTTGTCATTTTTGCAAAGATTAAACTGAGCCCATGACCTTGTAAATTTGGCAAGGCCTTGAACCGAGCTTGTGACCTTGTAAGTATGAATGTCAGTGCTGGAACAAAATCATCCCACCCTCTGTATTATCTTATGTTCTACTAGGCCTGATTGATAATGTCTTATCATCCATCCCTCTCACATGTTCCAATATGAAACCCCTTTAGATTCATCTCACCATTGTTCACTGTAACTTTCACAGGAATCCTAGGGAGTCACTACCAATTTCACTGCAGTCATAGGGAGTCACATCACTATGACTTTCACTGAGATCTTAAGGAGTCATAATAACTATCATTGGGGTCCTAGGGAGTTGCTATGACATTCACAAAACGTTGTTCCCACAAACACTCCAAAATTATGAAATAGCAAGCTTTTATTTTTAAAACTTGTCTTGGGAGAAAAAAGTTAACTTTACTTGTACTTGTTTAAAATTTCTTTGGGAGTTGAAGTTATAGAAATTTCAGATCTTTTCAGATTTTTTAGTCAGACGCAGCCTGTAAAGTTATAATTTTGGCTATTCTTCTGGATGTCTGTCCTGATGTTCATGTACATCTTCAACATTTTCTCAGAAATTTTGCAGCAGACTTCAATGAGACTGGACAGGTTAATGCTAGAAATGCTCAGATTTTTTTTCCAAATCTGAAAATTATAAGCATGCCTTATAATAATGATTTTTTTTATCAAAAAAAAAAAAGTGTCAACTTATATTTATATTAAATGTCGTATGCTGCTTAAAATTTTTACTACCATTTCCCGGTATACCGTTCATTGATGTGTTCTTTTCAAATATTGCCATAAAATCGTATTTGCCACTGCTTCGGCGCCATTTTTGCAGCTAATTTTCACCGTAAGATATTCTGTCACATGCACAAATGTTTTGTTTTATTTGGCCGTCATACTGGATATCCATAATATTTTTTTTTACCTAGTGGTAAATTATGTGAAATTTTCAACTGCCGTTGTGGTAGATTTTTAAATGGTGGAATTAAGTTGGAGGTTAAATCGATGAATTTTGCAATGAAAGTGAAATCAAGAGTGGTTTTACCGATGTTGATCTATCAACCAGCAGCTCTGCCTACCAGCAGGCTTTGTTTACTGAAACAATGATGGAAGTTGTGATGTTTATTTGACTTCTCACTTTCAAGATTTGGACAGAAAGATTTTTTTTTTTGATTTTTTATGAGATTATTCTGTAATAAACAGAGAATGAGCTGTACAGATGCACTGAGCAATTAACTGGTTTGTTTTTACCAATCAACTATTTTACCGACTTCAAACGTAGTTCGTGCGCTATTTATGCTAACATTTCCCCAAAAATCTTAAAATGCACATTGACATGAAAATTTATAAATTTACCCTTTTAAAACTTGTTTTTATTTTGAAAACCATGAGTACCCAGTATCTGCTTTATGTATGCAGTGTTTGAATAGTGGGAAAAAATGGCAGTGTGGTAGACATGTTTAAAGGAGTTATGAATAAAGCAGAGAAACCTGGGAACGTGTATTACCTACAAGTATGAAGATGAGTTTTGATAATGTACCATGTAATAAAATACAATACTGCTGATATAAAAAAAAAGTGAAATGCTAATTTTCTTCACTGCACAAGATATTAACAAATCAGTTATCATAAATGAAATTATTGGATTTTACAAAAATAAATAAATTGTAGGTCGAAGTAAATCATGCAAATTGCGTACTGGGTGAACCATGTTGGTAGACCTTTTTTCAAGAATGTGCAGTAGCCCGATGTTTCCAATATGCAGAGTCTGAATATGCTGCCAAAACAAATGTGCGAGAATGATTTGTACAAATTTGTTCGGGTCGCTTATTTGTGGACTGTTTATATATATATAGTTTCTGTTTGAAAGACTGGTGTACATTTTGCTTAGGGACCATTTTCATTTTCATTCATATTTGGCACATACATCATAAATATAGAAATACACGTCCATGTCAGTTTGTTTCATAATCAGATCAAAGATGGCCGACTGGCATCCATTTTGTTTTTTGAAAAATGTGGTTTGAAATAAACATTATACATGTTGAGATACATGACCATGATGATTTGTTTCATGTTCGAATCCATCTTGTTTTTTTAGTCCCCGTTCGGACACAGTCCGAAAACGGGGACTTATGTTTTGACCTCTGTGTATCCATGCGTGCATGCGTCTGTGCGTGCGTCCGGACCTGTATCTTAGAAATGCCTGGATCAATCACAATCAAACTTCACACATACATCATACATGATAGCATACATATGCATGTCAATTTGTTTCACAATCTGATTCAAGGTGGCCGAATGGCGGCCATTTTTGTGCTAAAAATCATCAAAAACAAGCATTTCTCAGCTGTTAACAGATGGATTTTGTTCAAACTTGGTATATAAATTAGACATTATAGGACCTTGATGCACATCATTTTGTTTTACGATCTGATTCAAAATGGCCGAATGGCGGCCATTTTGTGCTAAAAAAATCATCAAAATCAAGCATTTCTCGGCTGTTTACAGATGGATTTTGTTCAAACTTGGTATATACATTAGACATTATGGGACCTTGATGCAAATAATTTTGTTTTTTAGATAAGATTCAAAATGGCTGTCTGGTGGCCATTTTGTTTTAATGATTGGGCTTCTAGAGCCATATCTCTTAAATGCTTTGACTGATTATATTCAAATTTTATATATTAGTTATACATCATGTTATATATATACATGTATTTAAAATGGCTGATTTTGAATGCTGTTCCAGAGCAATATCCCTCAATATGGACAAGTACTTTTTTGACGATCAGATACAAATTTCAATCATTTTAATGTTAAAAAATCATATTCCTGACATGGTTATATTCCAGCTATATTACTATAAACAAAACTATATATCTTAAATTTGATAACTAACAGGGACTGTGCCATGCATGGCTTGTTCAAAATGTATCTTTGACCCGTTTTTCTTCTCTTCTCTTTTCTTTTCTTCTCAAAATATACATGTTAGGATACATGTCCATGACAATTAGTTTCACAATCAGAACGGCCAGCAATCTTGCTTTTTGACCACTGTACTGTATCTCAGTACATGTGCGTGGACAAATAAAATTCAGTTTGGATACAAAAAATGCATGGTTACTAGAAGAGCTAGTATTAAACCTTGTCTGATTGCAGGAACTTCAAGAAGGCGACATAAGAGACGCAAGTGTTTACAAAGGTACGTTCTCTATTTTCAGCTGGGGGGTGGACATCTAGTGACGTGCCTAGCAATGTGATTATTATGTTTATGTTGATTGCCAACTTTATATCCATGTGAATAGCCAGATTATTAAAAAACAAACGATCGTCTTAATCTACGAACCTAGTTTGTCTGTCAAATTATTTTACATTAATTAATTCCTGAGGTTGCTGTTTTCACGTTATTCACTTTCTGGTCTGAATACCAACAACTTGGGGGGGGGGGGGGTGTTCATTTGTTGATTAAATTTATTCTTTAGAAAATAACTAGTTGCCTATAATTATATTCATATCTTGAATGAATGTACTGAACACAAGGACCTTACTTGCAATAAAGATCTTGAATTGTGAATTCCTGAATCACCAATCTCGTGTAATTCAACATGGCAGATTTACAGTGACAACACAAGATGAACAGGAAATGATGACGACGTTTATTTGTGTGTTTAACTGAACATTTAAGTAGATATTGATATTGATTGATTGACTATTGATCGATCGCAATTTAATAAGGTGTTGACATGAAAATCGGTTTGGATGTGCCATTCGTTTTTATTGCGCTGACCTAAGTTGTCATCGTTTATACATCAGATTACTAGTTGTCCGAGTTTATACACTGCGCATAGCCAGTGTATGGTCAGCAACAGATATGCCGGCCAGTCTTCTCTTTATTTTGGTATTAAAAATTGTTCACTTCAAACGAAGTGAATAATCGTGTTTATAACATCAGAATTCAAAATCGTCACATTCTTTCTGATTTTGGCATTTCACGATGGCATTGTTGTCTGATCTTTACGTACGTAAGTATTGGCAGTAGAACTTTCGAATGCATAATGGTATTGCCAAGATGCTACCGGAAATCAACATCATAAAATGTAATTTACAAGCTTTATTGTAAATAAATAAGTAGAAATAATAAACTGATCAGAAGATAATGATATTTGATCTGTATCACAATGAAAACTGACTGAATTAAATGTAAATTTGTTCAAATGTTTCAACAATATTAGATTCATACATGTATTAATGACTTTTTCATTTAGTCTCACTGAACCAAGTATAGAGATGTTAATAATGAACCATCAAAAACTTTAACCATTTTCACAGACAATTCTCACTCTTGTTTCTGAACAATTTTAAGCTGTTCAATACATACTAATCTCAATTTTTGCTTTTTCACTTGTCCCAAATTTTTTCTTTGTGTTGTATTTACAGTTTGTTAGTATTCTTGAATTACTTTTGAATATTTTCTGTGTCACTCCTTCTGTGTCCTTTCAAAACTATCTTTGATTATACTTATTTTTGACTATCAACTTTTTTCTTTTACAGGAATCGGAGGTCCTGTAAGCTGTTTTAATTTTGCCAGAGGCAAAGTTTCGCGTATTACGCAAGTCAGATTTTTGTAGCAGTGACAATTTTTCTAGGATCCCACGACATGGAGTCGTCGCAACAAAAGCCTTATAATCAGAAAAATTTCTCGCAGTGAAAATTAAATAGTTTGCAGTATTTTATACCCTTCGAAATTGATTGAAATATTTAGTAATATCACAGCACTAAGAAGACAATTATTATTACTATTACATTGAAGGTTATGAGCAGACCAACCCTTATCGATAATGGCTTGCTTAATTATTACTTGCTCTGAAAACATAGCTTTGTATTTACAACTGATTATTAACAGATGATACTGTATGTACAGTGAATACATTTTAAATAATAAACCATACCTAGTTACTAAAAATGGTGTTTTACAATGTGAGAATAATTCTGTTGCATAGTGGTGATATTGAAACAAACCCAGGTCTTGTTAATATACAAAGACCTGAATTAACAAAGGAGTCAAAAAAGGTCCATGTACGTCAATGTAGTCTTCTGAGTGCATGTTGGACAAATAGTTTTGTTGCACTTGTGTACTCTGTGTGGATTCTGGACAATGGAAGTATTCAGTTATCAGTACAATACTAGATTATGGGAAATCACTTTATGATGGGTTGTACCAAAGTAGAGTACATATTCATCCACCAGTTTTGCAGATGTTCCATGTACTACTTCAACATTATGGGTATTTTATATTCAAATAACGGGGACTGTGACATTCATGTCTTGTCTTGTCTTGTTGAATGTAGCAAATAATTATTCAAAATAAAATCCTTATTTTCAGGCCCATCTTCGCCAACCAATTTTGTAGTAAATGTATTTGACTATCAGAGTGTAAGATTAGAATGGACACCACCGGAACATCCCAATGGTATCATTACTACTTATATAATTTTATATAATTATGATATATCGGCTCCCGAGGAAGCTTGGAACAAAGATGAGAAAGAAGGTATAGTTAAACAGAACTGTCATTGTGTTGAAAATAGTCACCAGTTTTTAGCTCTGCTGTCGACTTTCTCGAGCGGAGCTTATCATATGAGTGATTGTCCGTCGGCGTCCGTGTCAATGTTTTACTTTTTTGACTTCTTCTTGAAAACTACAAGCCTGAATGCTTTGATACTTGGTACCTTGGGTAGACCTCTCTCAGATTTGTTCATTTCATGATCATATCTTCAATTCTCTAATTTTGGTGAATATTTTTGTCATTTTTGGTAAAAAGTGATATTTTCGACTTCTTGTTAAAAACCACAAGTCCAATTGCTTTGATATTACATATATAGGTACTACATGTGGGCCACTCTCATATTTGTTCATTTCATGATGATATCTTCAATTCTCTAATTTTGATGAATATTTTTGTCATTTTTGGTAAAAAGTGATATTTTCAACTTCTTGTTAAAAATCACAATCATTTATGTTGAAAAATGATATTTTTGAATTTATGTTGAAAACAGCAAGTCCCATTGCATTGATACTATGCATATTGTTCATTTTCTAATGATATCTTCTGTTCTTTAATTGAAATGTGTATTGCTAACAGCGGAGCTATCTCAGCCGAGAGGCTGCTTGTTGTATTTTGTGAAAGTCTGCCACCAATGGCGACATATAGAATGTTTATGTAACTGATTTTTGCGTTTTACCTTGCCTGTATTATTGTTGATGAAGGGAAAAGTATACAAGAGGGGGAGTGTTTATAAATTTTGCTTTCTGCTTAAATTATTTTTGTGTGGTTACGTTTATTTTTCATTTAAACAGTTTGGGTTCTTGGCAAGTTGAATTTTGGTACATGTTGTATGCATGTATATTGTTGAAATATCACTTAAAATTGTCGGATTGTGGTTAAAATTATTTAAAATAAATGTTTTTCATCACCATTTAATTGATTATGATTAGTTGGTATAACTTTACGCTTTGTATCTTTTAATCTCAGGGACCGTTATGTATTCAGTGGTACAGAATTTGATGCCAAGTGTTCAGTGCTATTTTATGATGAGAGCTAGCACTGGTGTAGGCGAAGGACCACCAACAGATCCAGTAGCTGTTGTTTTGCCTGCACCATCCATGACTGCACCAATCAATACTACAAGAACCACAACAGTGACTGCTGAACCTACAGGTACATGTTTAAAGCGGGGGAAGACCATAGCGTGTTCACAAACAAGCGTCTATCCATGAATACTGTGAAATACTGTAAAAACATGTTGAAAAAGCGACATGCAATTTTAGCGAATTGTGGTAAAATGACGTAATAGCGAAATGTTGATTTATCGAATCTCTCTTGTCATTGTTGATTTCTTTGTTTGGCGGTTATTTTGAATTTATAATAAAGTCATTAGTGACATCTTGAATTAGCGAATCAGTTCTCTCGCTAAATTCGCAAAAAAGACATGCTCGTGAAAAAGACATGTTTTACAGTACTTTATTTTACTTGGAATTAATTTTCGCTGAAAAGACTTTTTGAGCGTTTTGTATGGAATTTATTTTCACTGATTTTTGGCAAGTTGAATATAATATATAGGAAAAAGGGATATTCGCTGGATTTTATTTTCACTGAATCATTACTTCAGTGAAAATAGTAAAAATTAATTCCAAGCGAAAATAAACTATTCTACAGTATTTGCATTTATAGAGTGTGTTATCGTTTAACAGGACTCAATTGATCGCTTAAATATTTAAAAAAACGTTTTTGTCTTGTTCACTGGATAACTGTTCACAGACACCTAACACTGTGCGTAACATTGTTAGTCAAACACATGATAAACGGACAGACAGACACATGACAGATGGGAAAAATTAAACATAACACATGCTTGGCTATAGGATTGTATTTTCTTTATCAGAGACTATTTTTTTTTGAGTCACCCTCACCAATATACATTGATAGGTGGCGCTATAACCAGTGAGGCTTACAGTTGACTGAACAATACACCTGGAAAATAAACTGGAAAAGTCTGAAAAATAAAAATATTATCAGTATATCCAGATTGATTGACCTGGTATAAAATCTGTAAAAATATGTACCATAATCACTGTACTTGCAACAGCCTATGCAGCATAGTAT